CATCATATTTCGTTGTATGATGATTATGATGACGATGATTTGTTTTGTTTTTTGATCTTACGAGGTGCAACTGCATTCCGGATTGTGTCTCTTGTTTAAAAATTAAAAACCACATTAGCTTCAGCGTTCAGCGATACCTGTATTGTGCTATAGGTCATTTAACCCGTAGTCGTCTCAGATCGGTAGTATTGCAGTTCAGTGTGAGGCAACAAGGTATGTTGCAAATTCTCTCTGAGCCTTATCGTTGTTGGTAACAATTTGAGCGAACTAACGATCTCTAAGGGTTGACTTTGTTTTAACCCTTGCGGGTTTGGTTGCTGTCTCGTGACTTCTCATTTAGATGTAGGAGTAAACGGAAGATTGGAAGGGTCAAATCCCTTTCATGGCTAAAATAGAAAAATCATGAAGACGAAGTTTTCAAGGTCATGAAGTAGATGCGCGAATGTCATCATCATGATACAGCGAGCTACAGTGAAGTAAACTTCGATGATCGCTGCCAAGCTCTCAATGTACACAAATCAAGTGATAAAGCAAGAAATGGAGGGAGATTGGGCCTAATTTGAGGGAGGCACAGAAAGTGAACCTCTACGGTCAGCACACAGAGTACACGAGTGTCGCTATTTTCGGGTACTCCATCATAGCACTGAATGTCTCTAACCGTCGATTACGCCAATCTCAATGTCAACATCCAGGAACACGACCTATGTGAATAAATTACCTAGTCAGGGTTCTCATACCCAGGAAAGATGAGTTTAGGTCGGGAATAACTATCGACAAGTTGTTTTGAGTTGAACAAGAACTGATAAGTGATACCCCTAATCCGATTGTGATAGCTGACCCACCTTGAGCCAACGTAAGGCACGCAAACGTTACAGAAAACAATTCATATATATATATATATATATATATATGCATAACTGGGGAATAAAACAATCGTTCAAAAGGAAGAGCACTCACGTGATCCAACCGGGGTAATGAGGTTGAAATGGCCGGAATGAAGAGAGTCTGACTAAAAACAGAACAACAGAATGGAACCGTCGTATGTATACTCACAAAGGTCGTAGAAGTGTTGAAATTGTCCACAAGATCTCGAAAGACTATAGCGCTTCGTTAGTTTCATTCAGATTATCATTTAAACAAAAATCGTCCTACTCCGTTTGTATCAGACCACCCTAAACGTTTATTGATTCATATCTCACCTGGCGGACGCATCACAGCTGAAGTGTCGGCGCGGATACAAAAGGCCCGGTTGGCATTTGCAAACTCGAGACATTTGTAGCACCGCCGCGACATCCGGCTGTTGATGAAGGTCGAGTATATCCTGCAGCAGTTTGGCCAGTCTTGCTCTACGGTGGGGAGATTTGGCCACTGGATGAAAAGTGTAAAAGTAGATTGTCGGTGTTCGAACACCACGGTCTACGTCGCATTGCACGAGTCTGGTGGTAACCGGACGAGCAATGCTGAGATTAGGTATAGAGTTTTAATCATTCGCGCTCGTCCACTGGCCCAAGTGATCAACTTCCGTAGGTTAGGTTGGTTGGGGCATGTGTTACGCATGTGACAAGATAGGTTTCCACGGCGAGCGATGTTTTCCGAGGCAAGGCGTGATTGGAGAAATGTCAAGGGTGGTCAAGCGAAGACCTGCTGGCATGAGGGTATGAAAACCCTAACCAGGAGACTAAGTCACATAAGTCCCGTTAGGCTTCCGGGATGGGGACCCCGAGATCAAGGTCACCGATAATCAGAGACACTGAGCTTATTGGCTGGATATCGCAACCAGTGGCGCTCATGCATGCGCTCATTGTACTCCTAACATCACTCTATATGAATTCTTCATCTTCCGCTTGAATTTGCTTTCAACATTCCAATCTTTATTCCGCTCTATTATTGAATTGGGGCATCAAAAGACAGCAACCAAAACCGGCACACGGGAGTGCATGGTTAATGGTTGTAAAAGGTGAACTGAACTTATTGATTCATGTCCTCTAACCTTTGTCAAAAAATCGTGAACACTGAAAATTGCCTCAGAGCCTTTAGTGACAATTGCATTATTTTCCATTGTTTGAGGTCCACCAATTGCGGAATACGTTTTACGCGTTGCCGGTTAGGTTTCCTCGACATGCAGTCATTTCCAAGATCGAAGGTAGTTGGCGAAAGGTCCGGTGTGGCCAGGCTGGGACAAAAGTGGTTGACCGGGGGTGTTGGTCGTATCGGGTGGGTCATATCAGGTTGAGGACCTCTGAACAACCCGAATCAATGGCTAGGAGAGCTGGACCAAATGATTGCGTGTTGTGAACAGTGACGCCCTAGTTTCTACCGTCTCTGGAAGCGTCAGTATCTGGTCCGGGTGTGTATCTTGGATTGTGTCAGGTCACCTTTCGATTGTACCTTGGGATACGCTCCGAAGTGAAAAACAAATTTCTCTAGTAGCCTTTGTTAGGAAAGTCCCACCCACTGCCTTTCCGTGGTGGTGTTATTTTCTCACCAAAGTGAGAGGGCAAAAAAAGCCAACATCCGGGACTATAACCCAGTCTTTGAACCACTTCCCCTAGGAGAGTTGGCTAAAGGATCATACGAACCGCTCACCCGTTCCCGGTTCTTAGCAGTGATCACCGGCTCCTCATCCAATGTGTGTACGATAATTTGAACTGAACACCGGCCCCAATGGATCGCAGTTTTTACACACCGTCTATTGCTTGCGGCTTTGGCTTTGGTAAGCTGAAGGTTCCGCATTTAAATCCCTCAAGAAAATTCACCTGCTCTGACCTGGACAACCTGGCACTATCGCGCCCAATAACGATTCATGAGAAATCTTTTGTTAAAAAGATAATTCTACCATGAGTTTCAGAGTAGCAAACTTGGATTAGCCCATTCGACTGCTAAGAGGCACCAGGCCTTCTTGATGGCGTCCCAAGCAGGATGAAACAGCTGTCCATTGCTCTTTGTCGGCTATTACAAACAGTATCATGATTTATTTGGAATACAATCCGAACTCAGACCAGTTGGAAATTTAATAATACGCAGATCCAGCCGGTCTACATTCTGTTTCATTTCGTTTTGCATTGCTCTCGGTATTTTACTTTTATCTATACTGATCTACCGTAGACACATAATTCCTAACTAGTAACCAATAAGAGTGCACGAAAGAGTGAATCAAACGGCTGTACGAAATGAAACTGGAAAATTATCCATGAACTATGATCTTTTAGTGTTATCGTCAGTGCAGTTTTCTGTTTAGTTCATCCAGACTTTAACACTTCCGGTTCATGCATCGGTTTTGGTTACGGACTCGGATTAAAGAGTAAAAGGACTATTAGAATGTGAGAAGCGGTGTCAATGGGTAGACTCGGGTTGCATAGAGATTGATAAGCCGCAGGCAGCGCCACTGTTTACGACACTCAGAAATATCATTCAGTGCAGCTGCACACCGGTTACGTTGATTCAGATATTCGCGTACAAGAAGACTATGGTGACCAAGTGTCCAAGTCTTCATATCCTCAGACCAGGTCTTATTTTGAACTCCGGTAACCTTCATCCGGCCATTACCTGTCTCGGTGATCACCGCATGTCGGAGAAACCGATCAGGAGACATGCCTAACACACGTACAAGTCAAGGTGATCGATGGAAGTTGAGCACTTACTCCAGCGGTGGTCCGCGATTGTGTGACACCATGTCCGACCTCGGCATTCGTTATTGGATTGTTCTACGGGATACCAGTGGGGTGGGGTGGGGCTGCTGCCATACAAAGGTTGCCTCAGAAAATACATAAATAAGGAGGACGGGTGGCGGCGGTGGTCGGTTCGAATCTGGGACGTCCGGGTCAAAGTTCGATGACCTTACCACTTGGCCACCACCTCTTTCATCTCGGTCACTTTGCCCAACACATGACAGTATTAGCAGAGCGGTTGAAGCATCTACCGGACCCTTCACGGACAGCTTTAAATGTCGACGGCACCACAGATATCTCAAATTGGTAAAAGATTAACCAAACCTTTGCTATGCGTCTCGACAGTTCATCTGTGATGCATTCATCGGGGGTTGATTGTACACTGATTGAATACTGGATAAATTACCCAGATCATCAGATTAGTCAAATTTGGGGATATACTAGAGAGGATTTTTGTTCACTAACCATTGCAATGGATGTTGATTTGAACTGGGCATCCTTCAAGCTTCATGGATACCGTTACAAGACCAGTCAATAGGGCCAAGTTATCACCAATGCTCCACCGTATGGTTTAGCTCATATTGTTTCCAAAACTAGTTGCTCTGTCTAAGTCCTTCCTCCAGGTGAGAAAGAAACATAATCCGGCGGATTGAAATCAGCAGTCTGTTTTGTCGTTAAACAAATATACAAAAATAAGTCTCCTTGTGAAGATCACACAGGAACAAATAAAGCCTGGCATGAGCACCAAACCTCTTGCCAGGACCATTCTCCGATATCGACCCAGTGGACGCGTAACAAGCGGGTTGCATCGACGTGTTCACACTTTGGTAGATATCAGAATACGTGGGTTTTTTACTTGAATTGTTTTTGACGTGAAAGCTCATTTTAGCAAAATGATTTTTATTATTCTCTAGTGTTATTTATATTTAAAAGATTTGTCAGGGTGATTCAATCTTTCAAAACTGCGATGACTCAACATTGTGAGATAGCATCCGTCAGCCAGACAACCAATTGGCACAATTTATTTATGATCCACAATATTGATCTAGGTTAATGAGTTGGATTACGGCCCAATCCGTGGTACCGGCCAGTAACAATGCCAACACGGATTGAATGGTATATAGAGAAGCAATTTTTATTCCATTTGTTTGTTTTTCAGTGACCATACTGTGGTGATCCTAGCCTACGGGATAATGCCAGTCACGAAGCGACGCGTTACAGTTTCTGGACAACTGTGGTGAGTCAACCATTCCCAGATGACGCCAGCCAAGGGCCTACACGTTTCAATTTATGGACAGCGGACCACAAACCAATCGTGCCGACCAATCAGAAGTCGCGCTGTTCAGACAGAAGCTGTAGAATGGCAAGACTACCAATAAGCGATTGGTGGATACCTGTATAAACAATAAACTTCATTCGTACACGTTATTTAATCCCCTTAATTTCTTTCAAAAAATAAACTGCTACTTCTGTATCCTTTTCCTTGCTTCTCGGTTACGTGAGATACCAACGTGCCAGTGCTCGTGCGATTCAGTATTTCCGTGGTGTGCGTGATTCTTGATTCGTCGTGATTCGTAATTTGTGATCTGTGCCTACTTCAACCGTTACATATACCCTTAGTATTATTCCGGATTCTTGCCCTTGACAAGTTTTTTATCCGTTCTTAGGTGCATTTTGGTTGTTCAACTACTAGTACTAGATATATGTTCACTTGACGAGCAGTGTTGAAATCCGGATTTGTATTGAAGGCAACTGTGATCAGGGTTACCAACAGTGAGTGGATGAAATAGATGAACTGCTACTGGATGATAGCAGTAAACTATCGAAATATCTTCAACTGTACAAGTATTGTACAGAACTCCAAATCGTCATCATTTTGTGGCATTGAGTGGTTACACATTGATCCTGTGCCGTTTGGACATGTTTACAGTCTTTGTATGGCAAATCAGCTACTGAAAGAACCAAGTATGAATGAATTTCAAATTAGATTTTGAAAAGCCAATACAAGGGACTAAAGCACAAACATTTGATTCCCGTTCATTCACTTGTTTTCTAACCCCTGGGAAGTCGAGAAAAAACGTTCTGGCAACCTTTGTTTTTATTTGAAATCTCACTGAAGATGATAGTATTGATTTTATCCTCATCACTTCACTGTCACAGCAATCGATGGGTGGTGGTATCCCGGTGATAAGGGTTATCAAATTATCATCCCAGATAAAGTGTGTGCGAATCCGACTTTCTCTACTGTGTTTTATATGCCGGCTATTTAACTGTTCACTTCCCTCTTCCTGAAAAACATATCGTTGTCTGTCCAATAAAAGGAAGTAAAAATGAAAATATTGTTCTAGAGGGAGAAACACGCGTTTCATGCTGTTTTGCTCAGCCCCCGAGTCGAACAACTTGTACACACAAAAAAACGTAGGACGATAATTCACAAATGCGAGGTAGGGGGTATAGGTTGGCGGCGGGTGGGTAAGCTCATATAATTAGTTGTTGAGTCATTCACCGATATCATTGTTGTTCTATGGACGGTTGACACTGATCCCTAGATAAATGACACTATTTACTTGCTATAAAACATTTTGTGTGTGAATTATAACAAAACTACAGGAGTATATTTGCCTGAGGTTTGCTCACTTTGCCGAGCTGTACGTCATTTCGGCCGATTGATTCGGCTGTCGAAGATCCAACACTTCTTTGGGCAGATGCACTGTCCCACCCGGTGATCGAACAATAGTTGAAGTCAAACCGGGAAATGTGCTGGTCAACGTGCTACCCATGGATTGATTCGAAAATATTTGTTGTAGTGCAGATAGATCTGGGATCTGATTGGAAAAGAAAAGAGACGATAGGTTGATTTGGCATTGTGAGGGCTATATCAGAGCGTGTTGCATGCTAATGGACCTGTGAGCCTATAGCACTACAAGTCACTTATTAAGTACCCAATAATCTCCTTAAAATTATCATAAAGAGAAGCAATCCAAAGTTGATTTATTGACAACATAAACGAAACACGTAAAGTATAATCTAATGGGCCACTCATTAACTTTGAACATAAATAATAGCCAGAATAGCCAAGGATAGGGGGAAATTGGGATACAACACCGAGTAAAATGGAGGTTAAACATTCATGATGGATAACAAGACAAACTCTAGGTCCTCCTTTATCAAATTTGTAAACACAAAGAGAAAACAAATACTACGACAGGCTGCCATTTCCTTTTTTCCATTACTCAGTCGCCAAAACATATACCATTCTGGTGTTTGTACAAGGAGTTTCAATAAACTAATTAAATTAAAAATTAATTAATTATCTACTATTTTCTCTCTTGCTGTGCATATCCGTTAGTTAATGCGTGAATCGGCTACGAAATNCTACGAAATACCCGAATTATTAGATATGTTTGTGTGGAATTGAATTGATTTATAGGTGTGAGTGATTTCCACCAGATTAAGTGCCCCTATGTCAACTATCCGTTTGTTCTCGTCGGTCCCTCATAGTATTTATTATATAGTGCCTTTTAAGCGTCATGATATGATACATGGTCCTACAGAATAACTAGTTTTCCGTTTGACGGGTTTCAGATTTCACACAATTAAGGAGCATTTTTGATTGAGCTTCCATGAACATGACTACTACGAAANAGGAGTAAATCCCACCAACACTGAAGTCAGTATGGTTCCAGAGGTTCCTTCTGCATGAACATTTGCATCACACACACACACATATATATATATATATATTACACCGGCTTGAGAACAACCATGGTGCCAACGCCACAATAATAAAAATAATGCGGGGGGAAGGTTGGTAAACAGAGTATAGGGAAAGAGACGTAATTGTGCAAACAGAAGATTACAAATGAATGGAATAACAATTATTTTTGTGTTGTTTGTTGTATTTACGGAGCACGGGATTTCGACAGGCAAGCTGTACAACATTCGCACCACTGACTTCTATATTCCGGGCCATATCTCTCAGTGTCTCTAACCAACGACAGTCCTCATCCCTTGGGCCCCAGGTTGTACCAACTGAAGCCAAAGCTGAAGCTAGCTTGTTCATACCTCTGCGCCATGTCATGGTCTGACCGCCACGGCGCTTCTTCCAGCCTTACTCGGCACGTGCAAAGAGAGCACGGAAAGGTAGTCGATGNGTCGATGGGCAGGCATACGCAATACGTGACCAAGCCATCGGAGCGATGTAGAGCGATTACTACTGATACAAAATGACCATCCACACCCAACACACGACGACAGATCTAGTCAATACTCACTTGATGTTCCCACCAGACACGAGTAATGCTTCGGGACATTGGTAGTCGAATACAGAAAGTCATTTAGCACCCTTCGTTCGGAAAGGCCAGGTCTCGCAACGGTAAAGGAAAACGCTACTAATCGCGGCGATGTATACCCTTCCCTTAAGGGACAGTCGGATGTCATAGAGGCACCACAAGTGTCGCAGGCTGGTGAAAGCTGTTCTAGCTTTCGCTAGTCGTGATTTGATCTCGTCCCCAACACCACCATCAGCTGCGATCAAGCTCCCGAGATACTTAACACTGCCAACTACTTCTAGCTGATCACCACAGATGGTGAGTGCAGGCACAGGCTCCTGCCAGCCTTGAACTAGCACTTTGCACTTGGAAGGGGTAAAGCAATACCATACCTGGACACATCGATCCGCAACTGGTTCAAAGCGTCTTGGACTGCCTGTGTGTTGTCACCCAGCAAGGCGATGCCATCGGCATATTCCAATTGAAGAACTCTGTTCCCTGGGTGGCGTTTGACTCCACCGTTTGTTAGACAGGACAAAGCATTCTGTGGAACATCGTCTGTGACAAAGTTGAAAAGGAATGGGGATATAGGGAAGCCTTGTTGAAATCCACCGGAGAAGGTGAAGGGTGGCGAAAGCTGACCATAGGCCCTAACCAGACCTGAGGTATGACGATACAACTCTTTGAGGATCGACACATAGTTGTCAGGTACTCCATTCCTCAAAAAATAGCTCCATAGTGCGGTCCTATCGACAGAGTCGAAGGCCGCGCGGATGTCTAAGAATACAATCATCGTTGGTCTTTGGTGGGTATGACGGTGCTCTAGCAGCTGTCGGAGGGTGAAGATTTGATCGATGCCTCCACGACCGGCGTGAAACCCAGCCTGCACTTCGCGGGTCTGCTCCTCACGCGTAGTGTACAATCGGCGGAGAATGTCTCATGCCAACAGCGTTGATGCTATCGGGATTAGGCTTTTATCCCTATAATTGGCTCAATCATTGCGCGGGCCCTTTTTGAAGATGGGGACAACAATCGATTCCACCCGCGAGGAGGGGATTTGCTCAGTGTTCCACACTTAACAGAACAGAACTTGTAGTTCTCTAACAAGCTTTATTCCATCATCTTCAAAGAAAGCAAGGGGATGGCTATCGGGGCCCGGCGCCGTTCCAAGGCTTGGATCGCCTTTTGGATTTCAGAAGGTGGGTTTATTGTGAAAACCATGGGACATGTGACGGAATAGCTGTGTGAGGAGCTGACGCTGGTGGCCAGCTAAACTGTGCTTTAAAGTGCTCCGCCCAGCGTGCAAGACGTCGCTGTTGATTGTGAATGGGCGAACCGTCAGCTTCGCAAATCGTTTCGGTCACACCTAAGGCTTTCCTATCGGTGACCCGGATGAGATGGAACAGCTTACGGGAATTTCCCATGGCGGCAGCATGTTCCATTTCTGACGCGCGTTTAGTCCACCAGATCTCGCGGTCTCTGCGTAGGCTTACGTTGAGGTTACGACTCGTTACTCATCGTATTTCATTATGCTCGCTGCCTGTCGGAATTGATCGGCGTGCGTCGAGAAGGCGTAGAGATTCCGCAGGAATCCAGGGTATCGCAGCACGACGTGTCAGACCACAACTAACTAAGCCAGCAGAATATAGAGAATTCTCGAATAGCGACCAGTGTTGGTTAACATCATCGAGTGGGGTTGATTCCAGCTTTTTAGCTTTTTGTTCTGAAAGACAGTTAGTTGTGCTGGTTGAGAAAACTAATCACAGTCTGACCGTCGATGTGTCAAGCGTTTGGAACGCCCACCGAAGCACATGGACAGCTTGGCGCAAAATAACGCGTGGCCGGATTCGAGGGGAGTGCTCCAGTACGATCGGCAGTCTTGTATGCAACCCCGCCATTTGTAGCTTATAGTGATGTAGTCGATCTGCGTCCGTCTCTGACTCGAGGAGGGTGGACGCCAAGATGCTTAACGGCCGTTGAATCGTCTGAAGTTCGTACTGGCGAGGAATAGGCGGTGGTTAGAAC